AAATTAACAAGTGAAATATAATACACTGGAAAAGAGATAATTTTAATAATAATAATAATAATAATAATAATAAGAAATAAGATTATCATATTCATATAACATTCGAGTCAAATAAAATGAAACAGTTTATTGTCCTAGAATTATGAACCCCGTGGATTATATCGTTCCGAAAAAGTTCTGCACAAAATTAATACAGAGAAAGTAGAAAAAAGAAGAAAAGAAAAGAGTAAAATTATCGGGCAGAAGGATATGTTTGCGTCAGGTTGCGTAAAAGTCAAGTTGTGGACTTTGTCGTCTGTCCTCTTGTTCGCTTGTAAACACCACCCTTTCCTACAATGCGACGATACGAACAAATTTCAAACTAACTTTCGATCACCCGATATGACTTTCCCCGATATTCTCTCTCTTTCTCTATCTATCTATCTATCTATCTATCTATCTGGCTTTTCATTCTCTCTTTTCTGATTAACCATGAGAAACATAAAAAGATATAATGCATATAGCGAGGCACAGTTTTCTTTTCAATATATAAATTAAAACAATGTTATGTTTGCATTAATTTTTCATTTAAATATACTTGACGTAATATATTGAACTATATATTTTCATTTGAAGTATATAATTTTTAGTTTCCTATAAGTAAAAATAATTTTGATTAGCATCATTACAATATTTATCATGTGATTTGAAAATATTATTTTTGAAATGATATATAAACAAATTATATATTTTTTAATTTAAAATATATAATTTATATTTTTGGTTCATTAAATATCTTTTCTCCTTCTATCCCAATCTCTCTCTCTTTATTTTTATTTCTCTCATGAATGATAAATTTATATGTCGTATAATATAATACGTAATATAAACGTGATATTAACGTGATGTTAATATCATTTAAATATAAATTAAATCATATTACTAAGTAATACGCAATTTAGTTTTTTTATTTTGTTATTTCGTTCCCTTTTCACTTTCTTTCTCTATTTTTCATATTCATGAACTATTAAGTCCTATTGTATTGCTACAAATGTTACGTTATATTAAAATCATGTTAGTATAAATGATGTCACGTATTAACCAGTGACGTAAAATTTTATTTATTTTTTTTTCTTTATATATGTATATTCTCTTTCTCTCTCTCTCTCTCTCTCTCTCTCACACTAACACACACACTCTGTCTTTTTCTCTCTTTCTTTGTCTTTTTTTTTTGCTTATGAACTATAAAGTCCTGTCGTAAAACTTACTTACTCTACTTTCTCTCGTAAGAAAAATTACGCTTTACGATGTACCGTATTACGTCCAAGCCACCTATGAAAAATAACGAAATGACGAAAAAAAAAAAAGAAATAATAATAATAATAATAATAAATAAATAAATAAATAAAAAGAAAGAACAAATACTGTGAACTTTTTCTGAAGTCTTGATGAAGTCTTCTTCCATAGAATAAAACAGACAAAAAAGTAGTAAAAACTAAATGATACATGTACACCATGGAATCCGGAAAGAAAAAAAACGATAGATTTTAAATTTACGTAAACTATAGCAACAAATACTCTGATATATACGATTTATACTTAATAAATATTAAAATATTCAAATATTCATGTGTGTGTGTGCATTCACAGGATTGGAGATCATTCATGGAAAATATTGAAAATAGAAAGATATTTCATTGTAACAAATCTCTCGACAAATAATAAAAGAATTGATTTTATACTTTATCAATAATGAAGGAATCTCGATAAATACAGATTTATTATTTTACTCGAATATTGTCGATTTCGTTAGCGTGAAAAAGAGAAATAAACAGAAAAACATATTGTCAATTCATACGTGCAGATGTGTTCACATGTGTATACGTGTGTCTGTTTGATTAATTGCTCGTATACTTTTTATCATAAATTTTATCAACGATTTGTCGTTCACGTTTGTTTTTTCACTAGAATTTCTTCATATTTCACTTTCGTTAACGGATCGCAAAATGAATTATAAGGAAAATTTCAATCAATCAACAATTTTTTCGTCTTTATCGATCAAGCTACTATTTTTCACGTTAACAAATACAAGCGTTTAAGAAAAATAAGTAAATGAATGAATGAACCTATCACGTGAAAATAAAAAGTAATACTGTGTTATACCAATATAACTAATTGAATATTCAATTATTTCAATTAATTATATGAAACACTGATAATCATATAAAAAGTAAAAACAAAACATAATGAAAAATCAAATTATTTTCATAGACAATCCGCGAGCAAGTTAAACGTATCGATGATTCTATTGCAAAGTATAGGTAGCTCAAAAGTAAACCAATCGAATATTAATCCTTTTAATCAACTTAACGCGAATCACTCTTCGTAAAAAAAGAAAGAAAAAAACAAAAAGTAAAGAAAATAAATAACTAAATGCAATTATCTCTGACTGAGATACGTGAAGTATAAAAAACAATATGGCATATATATATATATATATAAAAGCACCATTCAACAAATTATTTATAAAGACAATAGTGACATTCGAAATCACGTTTAAACATCTATAATGTATTACGTAGATAATGAGATGACGCTTTATGTTAACGAGTTTACAAGCATAATTACGAAACGCGTTGGTAACATTAACGTTTTCGAGAAATTCTTGTCGTTATACTCTCATCAATGCTTAACCTTCATTCCATTTACTCATTTATTTGCCGATATAACAAACAAAACGTTTTTACGCCTTCCCACTCTAATCTCCTCCGAGGATAATTAAACTGGCGGTATACGTGTGCCAACCACGAACACATTAACACAAACTTACAAATACAAAGTATTCAATCACACGACACACAAAGATCCAGAACTGTATAGACATTGAAGATACACGATCCATAGAAATCATGCGCGTAGTACCCAAAAACCCAAATACACGGTCACACTAGTACATTGACACACAGCACATAGACACTACACGGTTAAAATATGAAAGAAACAAAAATAAAAAAAAAAAAATAAAAATAAAAAGAAGAAGTCGACTGAACGCACGTTTCACACCCGAACAGCAATCTCCTTCGCAAGTTTCTCCTGTAAATTTCCATATCAAATCTTTTTCGCGCAAGGATAATCGCGATGACGCTGCACTTTCTTCTCTCGCCATTTCAATTTTTCTTTTTCCCTTTCACCTTTTTTTTTCTTTTCTTTCCTTTTCTATATCAACGCAGGAAGAACTTTCTAACGAGGTTAATACGATAGCACAAGAAAAAAGAAATATATATATATATAGATATACAGATTAAAGGATAACTGGATCAGTAAAGTAATCATCAATTCGATTTCTACACGTTGAAATGATATTTTGTTTTTCTTTTTCCAGTTTCAATATATCAAAAAGTTTATACAACTCTGAATATTAAATGTCATCCTTTTGTTTCCCTATGTTCTTGTTTAAATAAATAAAAGAATGCGGAGGGAAATCGATACAATTTTTTTATGGAACATTCATTCATTTAAAGAAAAAAAAGAAAAAAGAAGAAAAGAAAACGATTATTCCAAATACGTGGCTGTGGCTGAAATTTTTTTTTGCCATGTTTTACAATCTAAAAAAAAAAAAACAAAACCAAAAATCGATTGAATTTTCGTTGAAAACTTTAAAAATTAATTTTTAAAATCGGTAGAAATTATTTCTCGTCCAGGAAGTATAATAGTTCGAGAAGAGAACATTATGAGTATGAAATTTTGCAATACTATTTGTAATGCCTTTTGTTGAGTTTCCTGTTCCAAGAGAGATTTACTTATAAATAAGGCTACCTAACACACTCGTCGTTTACATGCATACATCTAACGTTCTATTCCTCAGACAAAAGCGAACTGCCACGGAACTTCCTAATTTGCAGCTCACTCGGAACAAGGACATCAAGCCTGTTTTTGTCTCTCTCACTACTCATCGGCAGTTTCTCTCTAAGAAAGTTAAACAAAGTTACAATATTTTACTAACTTTTCTTTCGATACACGAGGAACTCGTCTATTTCGATATACATTTTTCATTGACCTTGTTATTACAGAAAAAGAAAGATAAAGAAAGAAAGAAAAGGGAGTGTGAAAGAGAGAGAGAGAGAGAGAGAGAGAGAGAGAGAGAAAAAAAAACATTAATAATTTTGATATTCGATCAATGAACTTACATTTTATTTTTCACATTTAAGAAAAATCTAAATTCAAATAAAAAGTCTCATCTCATTTCAAGATATTGTTCGATTAATTATTTACCTATTTCACTTCAAATAACTGTAGTTTAAAATCGGTCAAACACAGCTGACCAATAAGCTACCTAACCTACTTTTTTATAAACTTCTTACAAAAAAGAATTTGTAATATTCAATTAGCGTACGTAATATTAAATTTCACATTCAACCTAAAAGTAGAAAAGACACAAAAAAAAAAGAAATAAAAATAGAATAATTTCAATCGCTACGAGATAAAATAGTACGATTAATTATTTATTTGTTCTACTTCCACAACGAGCAGAGTAAACACGTATGACCAATAAGCTACTTAGCCTACTGCCCCATATTTATCACCACCATAAACTCGCCGTAAAAAACAAAATTTCATATCCGAGCAACCAATGCAATATATTGCATTCTATTTTAAATTGAAAAAAAAAAAAAAGAAAAAACAAAACAAAACAAATGTAAACACAAAATGTAATAATGTAGAGATAAAATAGTTCGACCAATGATTTACCTGCTCTACTTCAAACAACCGCAGAATGCACGTCTGACCAATAAGTTACTTAGACTACTTGCCTCTATATGTTACCACTTTGAACCTCACCGTTCGATGAATTATTATTCACTAACCACTTGCGGTATATTTTTACAATACCTAATATATATACCAGGATACATTTTCTATCAATAACCGATCAAGTAAACTTCCTTTGCTAAATTCACATTCATTATTACAGGAAGATATAAGAAATTTCATTAAAACTATATCAAAGCATAGAAACAGAGCCCAATAAAGGCAGATTTATATAAAAAGTAAGAGTAAAAGTAACAGATTGAAAGAGAAATAGAGACACAGAAAGAGAGAGAAGAGAGAGAGAGAGAGAGAGAGAGAGAAGGATAGAGAGAAGGAGTGAGAGAGAAAGATAGAAGGAGAAAAAGGGAAAGAGAATAAAGGACAGAATGAAAAAGAGAATAAGAAATATCCATCGGACAACAAAATCACCAACCTGTTACTTGCAGCGATAGAGGATCCTGTGCGAGAGTTTTAGGTGGGGGAGTGCGTGCGTCTCACCGTTTCACGTAGGCGCGCTCTCTCAATCCTCTGATATATTTATACTTTCTCTCTATGTACCAGTAGACGGACTATTATATACCGTATATGTATGCCTTTGCTCGAATGACAACGAGATAACACAATTCTCTTCAACTTTTCGTTCACCTTCTCTTTTTAACCTGCATACATATACATATACATATATATATATATATATATATATAACCAGAAAAAAAAAGAAATATATATATATATATTATCCTTCTTTTGAATTATATACGTATCTATAATATAATAAAAAAAAAGAAAAAGAAAAATTATCTAAATAATATATATGTACGTGTATATACATACAAAAAGTTATATCACGCGAATCTTCTTTTTAATAGGAGAACGATTAAAGTCAACTGCTATCCCGATTGCTTGAAATGTATTTCAAGAGTATATAATAGGTCCAATATACGAGTATTCGTATAATACAGAATCCGTAAGCGTAGCAGCGGTATCGTGTCGGGCAGGACTGCCCGGCTTGCACTGCCCGGGTCTCCTGTTTCTCCCCACCGTTCCTACCACCTACCCCTTCCTATTCCTTCTCTCCCACTACTTTTCCTATATCTCGATCTCTCTCATACTTAAACCCGACCAACCATCGTCACCCTTATACTTTCTCTACATTTTACTATTATGACTGAACGATGAAGAGAGAGAGAGAGAGAGGAATAGTATGTGTGTATATACATGACTTTGTGTTGTGTACGTGTGTTCTTTTTTTTTCTTTCTTTTTTTCTGACCAGGAAGCTCGACTTTATTCCACTCTCTCTCTCTCTTTCTCTCTCTCTCTCTCTCTCTCTCTCTGTCTTCCATTCACTTATTTGCACCTGTACGTGTACAAGGATAGCTGTGTGTATAACTCTATATATATATTTGTGTGTGTTATATGTATCTCTTTCTATCTTTCTCTATTTGAAGTGGTGTATAGCGCCTACGTCGTTTCTACACCCACTCCTACGAGCACACAAAGAGCCATCATGGTTTACAGCGCAAGCTCCGTAACAGAGGAGTGGGGGGAAAGCCTTTCCCTCGTAGGAATCTCCTTAGCACACGAAAGACGAAACGCAGGCAGGCACCAGGGGAAAGCTTCGGTTGTTCTCAACCTTCTAAAGGTGTACCTTTCATCCTTGCAATATATTTATATATATTATATTATAATACATACTTAAGTATAATACATATACATAATTGAGTATGGTTTCGCCCAATATGAAAATACGAGCATGTTTTTGTATATTAGTTGTGTTCTATTTGCATGTATATATGTATATATATATTATCCTGTGGTTGACCACTATTATGTATGTACATTGTGTTTCGTGAGTGGTCTATATTAATTCATAATAATAATATTCAAACGTTTATTTATTTTTCAATTGGATCGACTTAAATTTTCATCCTAAATTTATCAAATAACAAATTTCTCCCCTTCTTTGGTAATATTTTATAATTTTTATATATTCTATTGATCGAGTCACAGACTTATCGTTCATGCAATTAAACAAAATTTTGAACAAATCAAAACTTCTCCAATCGAATATTTATCTTAAATGTATACCCTAAATTTTGATCCATCGATACATAATAATTAATATAATTAAATTCAATTTAATCCAAATTTAAAAACAATAATCAATCTTCATTCAAATCGGAGATTTGGAACGTTTGATAATAAATTCATTTCAAAGCTTAATATATATATATATATCAAATATATTATTGGCAATTATTTTCTTCTTTAATCTCCTCACCTTTAAAAACGAAAAAATACTTAATCCTAATAATTAATTATTCAATTAATATAAATCTTCGATATATAAAAAATTTGTGTCATTAGATAATTGAAAAGATTTTTAGTTTGGATACAGTTAGGATAATAAGATTTAAGAGAATAAAGTATCATCGGATTAACGAAATAATTAGCTTCAACCGGAAATTCTGTGGACTTCGACGTCAGGGATAAAATCCCTCAAGCAGTATTCCCTTCACCCCCTTTCACCCTCTATATCTATCTATTTATATCTTCTCCTATATCTCTCTCTCTCTCTCTCTCTCTCTCTCACTTTGTCCCCACTCTTCTGTCCTTTTCGTATCAAGCAGCAATACTATAGTACGGATGCTTATACAAGAAACAAGTAATTTCCATCCTTCCTTTTACCTCTCTCTCTCTCTCTCTCTCTCTCTCACTCGATACACAAGCAACGAACCAAATTGAAGTGCGCGTGTACTGCAGGAGACTCACATCAGACCAAAGCAAAGAGGAGAATGAAAAGGAGGAGGAGGAGGAGGAGGAGGATCGAAGAGGAAGTAGTAGGGTTAACAGAGGTAGATGAAGAGAGACATTTCGATTATTATAACCACGACCAGCTTGACTCTACTCGAGTTGAATTTCGAGGAATACGTAGAACTGATTCCATTTTCTGTATATGCAAATCGTGTGGAAAATATATCATATCGCACGATCAAATTTTTCTATCTGAAATACATAGGGTGTCTGATGTTTTTTTTTCCTAAAAACATTGTGAGAGATATTCAACGTATTCTTATCTGAACAATATCTTGGCAACTTAGGACATCTGTTGTGATCCCGTTCTATCTTGATTTTTATTTATAGGGAAAAATAAAGGAAGAAGTTTAAATGGAACTGAGATAGCTAAACTTAATGTTAGGATAAAAAGGATTAAGGATACACAGTTGCAGAATTTAATAGAAATCCACAAGAAATTCGCCATGTTATAAACAGCATACTACAGCGATATCGAACTTGTATTCGCGTAGGCGAGCAACATTTTGAATAGCACATTTAAACAGTTTTTTTATACAATTTTGAATAAACCTTTAAATGACTTATGTTTGTTTAACATTTGTATTTTTTATTTTTTAACATAGAATACGCTCACAACGTTTGTACGAAAAAACATCAGACACTCTGTATATACAGGGACATATTTTATATATATATATATGTCAGCAATAAATTGTATTTATAAATCAGTTAAATCTCGTTTAATCCGTTCTTATCTCTTATTATACTTTAAAAATCAATGTTCTATAAGTCATGCTGTTCTACCGGATCTAATTTACGGATCAAATTTCAATTTTATACCTTAACTATAGTCACCTATTGTAAAATCATATATATTATTTAGTTGAAGTATGTAATCCTGTCTTCTTTCATATTTAAATGGATCAATATAGTTACATATTTTAGGATTTAGCTAGTTATTTCACGAATTAGGTAATTTCACAAAGTAACGCCAACATGTGTATATATGTATATATGTTAAAAGAATCATCGTCGTTATTTCTTCATTTCGAGAAAATGCATTAACTCGTTTTGGTTCTGACATCATTTTTCATTTCGGTGTTATCTGAGACAAGAAAGTTATTAGCAATGAAAAATAGTTTATTTATATATATATAGTATCAAGTTTGTTTTCTTAACTGAATAATTTGATAATTTTTATTAAAAATGTAATGAACAATCTTACAAATAAAGATCATGGTATTATACTTATTAATGAAGAAAAAAGAAATTATGCAATCAAGAAAGATGCATTAATTAAAAGTAATTTTGATCCTTTTCTTTATCCGATTCTTGTTATGTCTCTCATCTTACTCTAGACTTATATTATCTTATATACAGGGTGAACGACAAATTTGTAGGATAATTTTAAAAATCAAAATTAACTATCTCAAGACTTCTCGAAACTTTTTAATTTTTAAAATCGTATAATAGTTTAACAAAAATATAATTTTTATTAACAGTTGTATATAATTTAACAAAATAAAATAAAATAAAGTTAAGAGAGATGAACATTATATTATATTTTCTATAATGACGGTAGAAATTGATTGAAAAATTTATCCTCGAAAAGAATATTCGCGCAATACCTTTAGTGCAGAAAAATAAAAAGTTGAGAAAATTAAAATAATATTTCATAATGAAAATTAAATCTCCCCGATACGAGGTTAGTCAGAAATTCTTTGATAATTTAAAAATGACGCAATTAGGCTTCCAATTTAAAAATATCACACAACGAATTTAATAAATCTCAATAAAACATTATTTTTAAATATTTTCGGTCCACCTTATATAAGCAAAATATAGTTAAACGATAAAAAGAGAATAAGATAAAAATTCACTGTTACTTCTCTAAAAACCTGAGGCGAACAAAATGTTCATCGCAAAAGTTTCTGGACACAAACTTAATCATACCAGGTGACTTTGCTAAGTAAAGTACCATCGAGAACACCGTCCTAACGTTGATAATTGTCCTCCGTTTGGACGTTATAAACTTCAAGATTATATTTGATTCTCATGAACGCCTGGACTTACTTTTTTCAAATTTAAACTTACCTCAGTAAACGTCTCCTAGTATTTCTATCTTTTTTCTTTTTATTCTTTTTTTTTTTTTCCAATTTTTCTTCCGAAAGATTTTTTCGAAGTTTTCCTTCCCCCTTTTTTCTTTGGAACAATTGTTTCAAGCTTCAACTGGAATATCGGTTGATCTTAAAGTGAGCGTATCAAAAGAACACAATACTTCATTTTTCTAAAATCAAAACTTTCTTTATCAAGAGAAACGTTGAAGGTTAATCAGAAAGTTTCCTGATCAACGAAAAGCTTTAGGATTGAGTGAACGAGAGCTTGATTAAATAAATCCAATGAATTCGATTTATAATACAGGGTGTTTATAAATTTACTACATTTATTTTCATCTCTCTCTCTCTTTCTCTCTCTCTTTCTTTTTTTTATATAAGAAAATTATATTGAAAGTTTTCGTAATAGTACACAAACAAATATACATATATATATATATATAAACTTATTATGTATCTGCTATAATATTATAATATACTAATATAGTTATTGTAATAAAAATACAATCTACGTGTATATATATGTAAAAAATAAAAAAAATAAAAAAAGAGGGAGAGAGAAGGAAGACAAAAAAAATGTCTAGCCTAGTTAAGGAAAATATTTAATTTACAATAAATTGGATGAACCACGCGTGAGATCGTATAGCAGTGTGCTGTGACAAGTTCTCAGAATCAAGTTATATACTTTGAAGTTCATGAACGAACGACATCATTCGTGGCACCGTTCATTTAAAACTTTCCTTCTCCCTTTCTCTATCTATACCACAGATCAGCTACATACTTACGTAACATCATAATGAACCTTTTTGAACCACGTGTGAATTATGCATTGTACGGAGTAGGTGGTTTGAAAAAATGTGTTGCACGAAATGGAGAATTTTCTCTCTCTTTCTCAACACACAACACACACACACACAAACATACGCGCGCGACATTTTTAGGAAATAATTATTCTATTTTTGTTACTAGCAAAGAAATGTTCTCATTACTGTTACAATTTCTCATTGTTTCGTACTTTTTCTATAATTTTTTTCAACTACGACAAAACTTTTTGTTTAATTAATAATGAATTAATTTCACACACACACGTACATATGTATGTACTTTTTAAAA